GTATTGTATTTATTGTTTCGGCCTTGGTTGCTCTTTCACAGGGTGTACTCGCTTTATTATGCCTTTATGTTACATGAAAATGATCTCAAAACAATAATATTATTGTTTATCGCAATAATTTCTGGGCCGATTTTTTGTTTGTTATCATGACAGGCCTAAGAGTGTGTAATGTAATGTTTTTTTTTATTTTTATTTTTTATTGTTTTATTGAAGCAGAAAGAAGCAATGCCTTAATTACATGGGTATGAGAAGTTTTGTTTATGGACGTAGGAGGGAATGAGATGGTGGGTAGTTGTATGAACTGGTGAAGGGGCAAACTGGCCCGGAGCGTTAAGAGTAGGTAAAAACAAACACAAACGTAACACTGTAAACGGGTCCTCTTCTGAGCTTCACGGACAATTTAACGGTGCTCGTTTCAAGATTCTCTCCAGATGTGGACCTCACAAGTCCGCCCCAAACAGAAATAGCCGGGCCTGCTTCGTATCGGCCCACTTATGGATGGGAAAAATCCGAACGGATTTCCTGCTCTCTCCTGTTCCTCCGCCCACTGCGCCTCGGCGCTCGACTAGTGGGGCAGAAGAGAGCCTGAGCTCGTTCGGATGGCGGTGGTAGGGGCAGGGGAGGGAGAGGAGGGGCGGGGTGGCCGGGGGTTGTGGTTTGTTTTTGTTTGACACAGCAGTCATCATCAACTGAGCGAAGGGCTCCATTCATTCCCGGTGACTCATGATAGGCCTGCTCAAGTGTCCATTAGTGACAAGGTGCTCGGCTGAGGTTGGATAGGTCACTGTGTTTCAGGATGATTATCTCCCTGCAGGCTCAGAGAAACAGGTGTTAAATGTTGGGATGGGTGGAACCTTTACACTCCGAAGTAAAAGACCAATTGCCGCTCCAGTTAGGGTTAAACACGGCCAGTTTTATTTATTTATTTTACCTTTTTCTTTCAGCTGTCTCTGCATGGAAGACTTCCGAAGAAGCTTTATTTTTTTTTAATAAAAGAAAAACAGGTTTCCCAGCAGTTTTTGTTTTTGGTTAATATTTTGAAACATCTTCTCGTTTTTGATGACTCCAGTGATTAGTAATCTTGTTCATCTCTCCTGGACAATCCCCCCCACACACACTCTCTGTAAGCCATTTATTTATTTTTTCTCTCTTTAGCCACAGTTTTCAGGGGCCCACATTGTTTCCCCTCTGGTGGATAATCTGATTACATTTCAATTTGCACGTGACTGTCTGGTGGAGGACAGGCTTACTGCTGCATCGTCTGAACACTGGTCAGTGAGGCTATTTAATGGGAAATAAGATCATTATCCCCTGATTTTTTTTTTTTTTTTTTAGCACCAGAAGCAGAAGAAACGAGTAACATTAGGATGTGGAGACAGAGAGCAGATGGAATGGGGAGTGATTGGATTCTTTTATTTTTTTTATTTGTACTGTTGTATGTTATTTCTTGCAGTAGCATAATCTCACTGAAAATGCAAGAAAAATCTGAAATTTAGGAACATTTAGTTGGAGAGAAAAATCCCAGATTATTTTTTTTTATTTTTTTTTTTTATAAAATTCTTTATGCCCAGTTATTGAAACACTTCTAATAAAACAAATATGGAAATACACTTTTTTTTTATTATGGAAATTTTTAAAGTCTGTTAAAGTCTGTAAGTGACTGTTAAACCTTGTCTGTCTTAGGCACTCTTCAAAATGGGAAGCACAAGAAAACATGCCATTCAAAAGCGAGGTGTGTGATTGGTCTTCAAAATTCAGGAAATTATTATTAGAGGGGAAAAAAAGCTACTCATTGAAAAAAATTAAAAAGTTGAAAGCAAATTGAAACATAATGACGGATAAGGATCCATTTTTATCTTGTCGCCACCCACAGACAGCAGGACCATAAGGGAAGTAAAACAAATCCCTAAAGTTCACTTTTAGAGAACAGTTCTGTGTTTTGGAAAACTTAAAACAGCTCTCTCTGCCCCACCATCACGAATGTAAACTTGTGAAGTTAACCAAACGCTGCCAGGAATTTCACTGTAAGACTGTGGCTTGGACAGTTGAGGCGAAGGGTGAATTTTTCAGGAACAAAAACTCAAAGTGGATCTGGGACGACGATGCAGAAAAGCACCTAACACCCACTGTTACGTATGCTGGGGAACATATGTGATGCTGTGGACGAGTCAGTGGTTCTTCTTATTTGAAACTTTGGCCTCTTTGATCAGCTCATGTTCAACGTAGTTCTGATGGACTTTTCATTTTAAAAGTATAAGAATTTAAAATTGCCAAATAAGCAGAGACATAAAATAATCAACGTTCTTCTAAAAACCAACTGAGTCTCCAGAGCTAACGCCTATGGAAAATCTGTGAGATTTTATATCTGACAAAATGTAGCCATATTGGCAAAAGATACTTTATTTCTGAATTTATTAAGTATGTATTACCAGTAAAAGTATTTTTTTTTCTTAAATTTACAGTGTAAGAATATGCCATAAACTGGATATTATTACATATGGCAGCGTATTATGTGTTCCTAATAAGGGTTATACATAAATATGTAAAAATATATTTAGTTCTCTCATATGCAGAAGTAAAAATGCCACCAACCATTTGCTTTCTCAGAATTAGTAATTTGGCATATGAAACAGATGGACAGATCCACTTATTCCTTTAAAGGCCATTTTTATAACTTTATTTCACTTGTGTTGGAAATTGTAAGCAGGTCAGATCACAAATATGGATCTTAATACAATGCAGAAGAAAATCAGCTTTCTGACTTTTCCCTGGCATTAGTATAAATATTCTACCACCAGAAACGACCAGCTAATGGAAGTTCGACATGCGTGTTTATTTACACCGAATCCAAAAGTTATTCACATGGAAAACGGAGGCTGGAGGTGATGCGTCATCGATGATCTTCCTGTGTGGAGCATGAACAGAACACAGACTGTTTCTGATCACGCTGGCTCCCTGATGCGAAAGCAAAAAACCAGCAATAACTTAAACCACTGTAATATTTTTTTGCTGTTTACATTGTTTTTATTGCTATATGTAACTGAAAACGCCTCACTTTTTTTGGTCCTGATTATGTGTTTCAGACAGGAAGATAATTTGTGGTGCACTGCCCCCTACCTCAAATTCCCATTTAAATAAATGATGGCTTCTTTGCAAAGACCCATCCAATGCAAACATGGCATCACTTTAAAATGTTCCCTGACGTGGCGTCCACATGAACTGTTATAACATTGTTAAATCCGAGTCGCTTTAGGAAGCAAGAAGTGTGCATTCGTCTTGGTTCCTCTTGTGAGTAGGTGTTGGCTTTAGACTCTGGGACAAGCTAATCTAGATTTAATCTCAATGAAGACAAGAGAAAATTATCCACTGCATGCATCACCTGCGTAGACCCTTTAAACAGAACCACATACTTGAAAACCAACGAGCTGTCTCTTCGTATCACTTTGTTTTTGTGGGACACCTGAGTGACAATTCGTCAGTTTTGGGAAAATAATTTGGGTTGAAAGAGTGAAAAGCAAACCAGTCTGACAGTAGTTGAGAAATCCTTTCACGAAGGTGAAAATCTGAAAGCCACTTCGATTCATGCGCTCTTTTAGGACTCACTGACAGTTTAAAGGGAGCTTTAAACTGGACTCTTTTCTCTTTAGATCTTTTTTCTTCAGTAACTTAAGAGGTCTGGATTTGATAACATACTTTGTTTCTAAAGAATGTCAGCCACATCTGCACTCCTGGCGGTGGCGCTTCTCGCCTGTTGGAAGTAACCATCCCAGTATGCCACTGAGGCGCTTTCCAGCAGCCTGTACCAGACTAGATAGATAAGAGGCTCTGGTGCAAGGGTAGTCATTTTCATTGCAAGAATTTAAGACATATGATTGTTCTCCTCCCCCACCTTATCCTCTTGTGATTATGATCAATTATCCACTTGTAATTAGAGCCTGGCAGTAACTGAGCTTATGGGTTCTGACACTCTGTGTAATAGCCTGTAATAATGTTGTCAGTCACATTTCATATAGTCCACGCGCACAGGCAGGCTTCCCGTGGAAATTTCTTTTAACGTTTCCATTGTTTAGTGATGAGAATTGCTGACTTTACGAGTAAAATGTGCCGGTTTGATCGATTGAATGGTCATAAATGAACTTTTAGATGAAGCAAAATGATGAGATTCACATTTAATCTGGCTAATCTCAGACCAAAAAAAAAAAAAAAAAATTGCACAAATCACAACATGGTGTTGAGGAGTCCGACCGTTTACTGAGTAAAAAGTGCTCTGGTGGCGTGAAATTAGTCAACGCTGTTGAAGTCTCAATGCCTATCTGTATTTCTCTTTCTGTTTGACTCGTGCCCCGACCTCATTCAGACTCCCGTTTGAGAAACGGAGCAAAGCAAACTGTCTGAAGAGCCACTTCCTGTTGTGTACTTAAGATCCCTGTCATGTGATAGCGTCAGTTGATGGAGGCGTGCGAGGAGGGGAGGGGAGCGGGGAGGGAATAGGGTGGCACTGCTGCTGATCTTGCTGATGTGCACACAACTACCATTCCCCCTCACCTCAGCCATCACCCTGATTGTGTAAAGTGTTGACTCAGCCGCTGTGGCATCAAGACCCTCCAACCCCCCCCCCCCCAGGCCGTGCACCACTAAGGCACAATCACAGAGCCACCGCATAGACCTGAATAGCAGCGGTGCACAACACTAGTTTGAGAGTAGTTTGTCTAAACTCCGTTTTATTGGCTTTGTATGTTTGCTTGGTGTTTATTGGCCGTGTTTTACGTTACCACTGCAAATGTGTGTTTTGACCTACAATGATTCTCAAGTTTTGCTCTTTGATCTACCTAGAATAAAGCAAACAGCTTGCAGATTTTGCCAACAATACATATTTTTGGACCAACTCTCTACGTATTAAAATATCAGATTAGTTTGATTGATTTTGAAGCTAAAGTGACACAGATTTACTAACAATTTTCCCTGTTTTTTTCCTCTTTTGTCTCCTTTCAACTCTGCAGGTCCTGTGGTGGAAATTTCACTGTGACACATGTGTGGAAATACACAATACACTAGAACTAAGGCTAACGGAACCAGAACAAGGAGTACAAAAAGTGTTGTGGATCAGCAGAACCCGAGAAAAATCCCCTTAATCGACAATGGCCATGAGGACCTGAAAAAGAAACTGATATGTTGAGTTTTTACTTGAGCAGTGAGGTACACAGTTCATTGACTTTATTAGTATCTTGAGATCTGAGTGTGGCGTTTTAGCTGACAGGACTGATACAGATATACATCCCTAGATGTACTTCTCTAGATAGCAGTGATTTCCAATGTTTCTGAACCTGTGAACAACCAGGTACAAAAGGGGGTTTCATCCATACCATGAATCCTAGAGACAGTGTAGAGGTGATGGAGACGCAGGAGAAGCTGACTGGCAAAAAAGCCAACACTGAAAAGGAGTTTGAAGGTGAGGATGACAAAATCCCAGAGGCATACAACTGCAACATCTGTGGACGCAGCTTCCCTTTCCTCAGCTCGTTCTCGCAGCACATGAGACGCCACACGGGCGCACGCCCTTATAAATGTCCCTACTGCGACCACAGGGCATCTCAGAAGGGCAACCTCAAAGTCCATATCCGCAGCCACAAACTGGGCACGCTGTCCAGCCACCACTCTAATGAGGACGAAGAGGGCGGAGCAGAGGAGGAGGAGATGAAGGTTTCCGAGGGTCTGGACGGAGGCACCAGTCCAACTAAGAGCAGCTCTGCCTGCAACAAGATGGTCAACGGGGATGTCGGAGAGGAGAGTCGAAGGAAAATGCCTGCACGGAGCATGAAAAGAGAAAAGTCTGTCAGCAACCAGCGGCCGTATTGTTGCCGCCTTTGTGGGTACGAGGCCCTGCGGGAAGACCAGCTCCTGAGCCACATTGAGAAAGTCCACATAACAGCAGACGCAGAAGAGGACACGGTCACGGTTAAGGAAGAGGTCATTACCGAGCCTGATACCGTCCAGCCGCAAAGCGATGGGACGTTCCCCTGCGAGACGTGTGGCCAGGTGTTCAGCCAGGCCTGGTTTCTGAAGTCACACATGAAGAAACACGCTGGAATCCTTGACCACTGCTGCCGAATATGTGGAAGAAGGTTCCGCGAAGCCTGGTTTCTCAAGTCTCATATGAAAACCCACAATACCAGGTCCAGGTCTCGCTCTAAAGCAGATTCGGCAGAGCCTCCCACCACTATAAATGACGTAGCACAGGATCCCGACATAACGACAACTTCTGTTACATCTGTCTATCAGATGTGCTCGAAATGCGGAAACCTTTTCCACAGCAAAGAAAGCCTGAGAGCCCACGATAAAGTTCACAGTCCTAATTGTGGCAGAAAATCCCCAGTTCACTGCAGGTCTACTGATGATGAGGATTCACCAGCTGCGAAGAGACGTCTCCTGGAATACTTTAACCTACAATGCGTTGAGGGAAAGACGCCGGGTGAAGAAGAGGACAGAGAGAAAAGGACTCTTGGTCAAAGGATTCCAGAATTAGATCCAGTTTGCAGCTACCAGGCTTGGCAATTAGCCACTAAAGGAAGAGTTGTGGAGCCAGTGGAGCCAAGTTACAAAGCTTCATATAGCGGAGGGAGCATGGAGGACGAAGCCCTTACCGATGCCGCAGTGGTTTATGAGAAGGAGAACAGCCGTTATGTCTTGCAAGGCCAAGAAAAACGCAGCTCAGGGAGACGCAGCAGCTCAGGGTTGGGAAGCCACACATCTTCAGGCGACAGGACACCGGAGAGCCTCAGCGACTCAGAGTACCGCCCCTCAAGTCGACAGGACAAACGGCGACCGTCCCAGTCTTCTTCCAAAGGCAAAGAGTGCTTCGAGTGTGGCAAGATGTTCCGCAGCCGCCATCAGATGATCGTTCACCAGCGGGTTCATAGGAAGGATGGCGGCAGGGCACCAGCGGGAGACAAGGAAAGAACTGGAAGGGACGATCAGTGGGGACCCACCAGTGACCCGGAGTCCGGTTCCCCAAGCAGACCCAGCACCCCAGGGTATGGAGATTCTCCACCTGCGTCGACGCTTGGAGATCAGGCTTCCGAGATGGGAACCTCAAACTCTGGGGAAATTGCAGGTTAGTCGGTAACTTTTGACTTTTTCGGTTCTCCTTTATACACAACAAATATCCTTTACATTACAGTGGTAGAAAACAGTAACAAGAAAAATAACACTGTCATTACAGATGAATAAAAAGGATTTGCTAGTAAGTACTTGCCTTACGTTATGGCTTCTAGTGCTTTGCATTAGTTGTTGAAACTGGAACAAACTCTGTCAGCAGTTTTAATTGCAGAAAGGACTGTAGACCTCATTAAGTCTCCCATTCGATACCTCTGTCACTCTGATGTAAACAACTAATGATGAAGAATGCTCGGCTTATCAGTCTCTTTGGAGTGGGCACTGGAGCCACCATGTGGTGAAATGTCCAAACTTCATCAGTGTGAGTTACACTTTAAAAAAAAAAGTGCTGTTTAAAAACACTATCAAACAGATAGGACAGCTTCCAGTCCTGCTGGACAGTTTGTTGACATTATTATGTAATATGAACCTGCTGTAAACTTCGCAGCTTAACTGTGGCTCTTCTTCCTGATGGCACTTCAGCAGCACAAAAGGCATTTTTGGAATGCTAATCATTTTTAACGACCTTTGTAGCCTAGTGACACTACGGCGTAAATAGAAAAATAAAGAAGGAAAGACAAAAGAAAACGTAACCATTACTGAAAAATGCTCAACGATGGATTGTAATATATGTTTTTTCTTAATATTTCTGCATAACCTGATGCATTTGTTTATATTAGCAAAGAAACAAAGCGATCGTCTCCACTCTTCCCAGCTGGTGCTGACATTCTAAAATAGCTGCAACATTTCTTCAGGCCCAATTGAGCTGTGTGCTATTTCAGGTCTTCCTGTCTCAGGAAACTAACCCCCCTTCTCTCCCCCTTCAGATCTGTGTGTGAATGTGCTTTTCACTTACTGTTATATCTTTCAGCTACTTAAGCATCCTTTTATGTTGATGTTAAAACAGACTGCTGTGAGAGAGAGTTAGCAACATGAGAGGAAACAAACAAAAGGGGTTGTTGCACTTGGGCATTCCCAGGCAGGGGCATCTCCTTTCTAGTAGTAGGTTGAAGTGTAGATAATTTTTTCTTCTTGGTTTATCTCTGTATGTCTACAAATGTGCACAATGTCCTGATATTCCTATTTGTTTTTGTATTGATGAGTGACATTTTTTAAATGACTTACTCTTGGTATTTTGTAGTTCTGACAAGAACTTGTTTCCTGTCTAAAGAAAACTTTGATTAATGTGGAAAACCATTTTTTTCAATTACAAGGCTGTGAATGCCACCTTGTGGACAATTGAGGGAGCTGCACATCAGAGAAATTGATCAGTTCAATGAAACAGATGTAAACAACAACAAACAAAAAAACAATAGAAATTTCTGCAGAGGATCTTAAAAAACATAATAATAATAATAATAATAATAATAATAATAATAATAATAATAAGAAGAAGAAGAAGAAGAAGAAGAAGAAGACATGTTATTATAATGCTAATAATAATTATAATGGCTGTTATAATAATAGCCAATGTAATTATATTATTATAATTATATTATTATATTTATAATTATTATTATAATGTCATTATCATTATGACTACTAGTCATAATGATAAAAATATAGTAAAAATCCAAAGTCATATCCATCAATATTTATCATCATGCTACAACAAACCTAACAAATGTGTTCATTGTTTGATTTATGCGTTGAACTAGAAACTAATCTTAAGGTGACCTTTAAATCAGATTTTATATTGGGCTACACTGACCCCTGGTGGTTATTTACTATAACTACATCCAGACAAAATTCTGATAAATCTGGAGGATTGTTGCCGGAGTTAGGTGGTATATTAAACATTGTTTAGTTTGTAGTGCCTGATTTTAGTAACTATGTTTTTTTTCCCTTCACAGATGAAAAGCCATATATCTGCAGCCTTTGTGACTTTGTCACCGCAGAGTCACAGGCCTACTTCACCCATGTTCGTGTCCAACACCAGGCTGCCTCCAAAGACAGACCCAGCCCTGTCCCCAGTCCCAGCTCCAGCTCAGACAGAGGGTTCCTCAGCAGTTATCCCAAACTTAAGAAAGCTTTTACTCCAGGGCTAAAAACCTCTCCGAATGCTTATCTCTCTGCTCGTCCTTCTTCATCTGATCCCACCATGATCCCGATGGATTTATGTGTGAGAGCCAATGGGATCAGGGGCGTAGCCTCTATAACTTTAGATAAAAAGAACCTCCCAAGCCATAAGTGCTCCTTCTGCTCTCACTCCACCCGCTACCCAGAGGTGCTCTGGATGCATCAGACAGTGGCTCACCGCATCAACAGCAGTAGCTCCAATCTGGCTCCGAAATGGGCTGTTAAGAACAACTCTAAGACCTCCAGGGACAACTCTTCGTCCTCAAAGAGACGCACCGGGCCTCCACCTGTACTGGAAGGGAAGGAATGTCAGCCGCTCCCTCCGACGGTGCGGAGCCAGCGGACGCGGCCTCCTACCTGCACCAGTGAGGTTGTAAAAAAGAGCAGGCCGGTCAGTCACGCAGTCACCCCGTCATCATCTTCTACGCCTTGTACGCCATCCTCAAGAATCTCTTCATCAGCATCAGGCAAGCAGGTTGGGAGAGTCCCCGTTCGGCCAGTCAGCAGCAGCAGCACCAGTAAACGTATGGAGGACCAAAGTCAGCGCTTCAGACCCAAGGCGGAAATCTATCCCCGTGTCAGCACTCAGGCACCTTCTGGCTCTTCGGAGAAGAACACCGGGAGCCGTTCTCGACTGCCTGCATCAGGCCTCAGCTCTTCCGCAGCAGCCAGGATGGCAGACCGCTACATGATGCCTCAGGAGGGTCTGGGCTTCATGCTGACCAACCAACACAGCCTCTCGGAGTACAGCCGAGCCCGGGGCTCCTCTCATCAACCGCTCCCCAGTTCCCAAATCCACAGTCGGCCAAACCCTTCAAGACCCAACGCCATTAACCACTGTTTGCCCACAACGCACAGCTACGGCATCTCCCAGACACAGGGAGCCGTGGCGCAGGCCTCTTCCTCCCCCTCATCGTCATCGATACCGTCAGAGAGCCGTAGGGATGTGAAGCAAGAGCCGATTGGAGAGACACCAGACATGTCAACCGAGGTCCTGGGCTACCTTAAGAAATACAACCCGCACGATCTGGCTCCTTTCTATCACCACTGGGGTGCGGCCAACTCTCTGATGGACCCCACAGGTAGAAATTACTCATTAATCACACTCTGTTCATACATTTACACCAAATTGTTATGCTTCTACGATGAAAAGCGCTTTCTCACATGAAATTCCCCATCATCAGCTCACACAAAAGTTGCTTCAAGGAGCTGATCTCAGAGAAAATGTCAAGTGTCAGAAGGAATAAAGCAATGTTTACTGAAATTGGATGGCTTGCTTCTGAGCCCTTTCGAACAACAATAGCTGGCAGAAGAAAAATCTATAAAGAGAGTCCGCTACCTTGCTGCTCTGCCCTTCTGGCGAGGAGCCACTCGCGCCGTGCTCAGGCTTTTACAAAAATGTAGATGTGCACGAATGATGAAGCGACACCGCCTCCTGCAGACCTTACCGGTGTATGCGCTTCTCTCTTGCAGCTCCTGTCAACATGATGGAAATGGTGGGTGTAACCAGAAAGGAGCTAAACTCTACCTGGTAGATGCAGTAAAACATACCCTCAGGATAATACCACCACCAACGTGTCTCATGGTGGGTTGGTATTACGAGGTGACGTAGCGATCCATATGTAAGCCCAGATCACTTTTTGAATGCATCGCTTTGACCCACTTGTCCCCCCACATGATATGTGGCAAACTTCAAGCAGAAACTCTCATGACCTTCCTTCAGAAATGACTTTCTTTGATTCTGCCAGCTGAGTTGTGAATCTCCTTCACAGTTCTATCAAGTCAAGGCAGTGGAAAATACCTTACACCATTGACACTTATTTCAGTCACCAATTATGAAACAAGCAATAACCATTTCACTTTGTCAAACACCATCATCAAGCAAATACACATCAAATATGTTGTTCGACGTTCCAATTACTAGGACTCAAATGGAAACTCAGTGGTTCAGTCTTTGCAGTTTTCCGGAAGCTTGTTCCAGATTTATGGTGCATAGAAGCTGAATGCTGCTTCTCCATGCTTGGTTCTGGTTCTGGGGAGGCAGAACCCAGAAGACGTGAGAAGTCTGGAAGGTTGATACAGCAGCAGCAGATCTTTAATGTATTGTGGTGTTAAGCCGTTCAGTGATTTTTTTTTTTTAAACTCCATCCATCTTTATCCCTAGAGGGATTGGGAGGATTTTTTTTTAAACTGATAAAAGTATTTTAAAGTTTATTATTTGAGCTACAGGAAGCCAGTGGAAGGACTTCAGAACTGGGGGGAAGTGTTCTGTCTCGCTAGTTTTAGTGAGAACATGAGCAGTGGTGTTCTGGATCAGCTGCAGCTGTAATCAGTGCAACTAAAGAAACACATGGATGAGTTTCTCTACATCTTGATCATTTAACCCTGGAAAGGTTATTTAGGTGATAGCAGGTGGATTGTGTAACTGTCTTTATGTGACTAAAGGGTTTCCAGCTGTAGTAACTGAAGTCTACTATGAAAATCTCAGGTTGTCTCATCATTTCATTTCCACTCCACAGAAATGTGCGCCTTTGTGTTGTTCCATCACATGAAACCCCCATGAAGCGTGCTGAAGTTCCTGGTTGGACTTGAATGTTCTTGGGTTTAAGATGTAAAAGCAGTAGTAGTGCGTAGATAACATTTGTCTTTTTTTTTTTTCTAACTGTGAAAGACGCGAGAGAACCTTTTCTGCTCTCAGGTCTGCGAGGCATTCACGGACCCCCGCTCCACTGTTCCAGAAAGCTGTCACAAACTGTTTGGGTCACGGCTCTCCACCTGACGAAGAGACTCGCGCAGAGGAAAGCGAACAAACAGAAAAGGGAGGCCAAAAAAAACAACAACAAAAAAAAAAACAAGAGAGATGAGACAGAATAATTACCCCACCAGCTGCTTTGGAAATGGTCATTACTCAACATCCGTAATATTTGCCCAGTTTGGGTTGTGTCTCCGAGGTCAAGCAGGGCTGTACGGAGCCAGGGGTCAGAGACAACAGCCCCAGAGCAGACGTGTGACATCGCTGTCACCCGTCCAGGCGCATATCGTCACCATCTGCCTTAGCCCTTTGAGTCACATGCTATAAAGTGACCTTTTTTGAGCAACTGAGTCTTTCTCCTGTTTCCCTCTGTAGTACATGCCGACATGTACGTGTGTGTGTGTGTGCGTGTGTGTGTGTATGTGTTGGTGCGCTTGTGTTTTCTGTCCAGCTCTGTCTTGTCTTTCATTAGTGCGTCAGTGAGAAGGGCTGGCGGCCCAGAGTAGAAGTGGAGTATCCAGAGGCCAGCAGTCGGGCTGCCAGACACACTCTCTTTCACCTCTTCCACCTCTCTGTCCTCCTTGTTCCTGCTGTGCCCCCTCCCCATTCACACGCTGCCCCCTACCAACACAGAAACATTCATAAACAGCTACTAGGTACTTTTCCAGGTATGCGCACAGGGGCGATCCTCGTCCGCTGGAGGCTTTGGAGGCATTAAGCGCCACAAAGCCTCAGGCTTGTTATCCATCAGCAAGAGAGGTCATAGGAATGTACGTGTGTGTGTTTGTGGGTGCGTGTGTGTCTGTTACGTCCAGAATGTCATTAAATGGATGCGAGAAGTTTAAAATGCCCCATGCGAATGCTGCCTCTGCTTCCAATATTGAAAGCGGACTGGAAATAAGAATCTAGCGTTGGTTGCAGAAATGGAGCTGGTTACACAAAAGGTATCAAAATGGGTTTTGAAAATGCAAAAAAAAAAAAAAGTCCTACTTCATGTTGAAAACCGACTCCTGGAGCCTGTCAGTTCAATGCCAGGCAAAAGTATTGACACAGGTCAGCACAAATTAGTGCACAGCTGCAAACTGGAAGGAAAATGATAGCTTTTAGTGCATGTGTGTTCAGCTCCCTTTACTCCCATAGCTCTAAATAAAATCAGATGCAATCAATTTACCTTCAAATGCTGTGAAATGAGAAAATAAAATCCACCTCTGTTTAATTTAATAGTTCTGTGAAGGCCTCAGAGGTTTTGTAAGGCGTATTCACAACAGCTCTGTTTAGTCCGCTTTAATAGAACTCCGGTTTGTTTGTCTAGAAAGTCCGGTTCATTTGGGGAAGTGTGTATGCGCAATCAAACCAAAAAGCAAAGTCTGGTCCACCTAAAAACCTAGCTCCCATTTCAGTGAATTCATGTGCGAATGTCAAGCAGACAGGATTCCGCTCCAAACACAGGAAGCAAGACTAAAACACAGGGCATTGTGGGTATTTTACAACCAAAATAAACAAAACGCCTAGCAAGAAAAAATTTTTCAGTCTTTTGCCAAGGACTGCTAAAATGTCACACCACTCCGTTTTTGCCTGCATTTCGAGAAGAAGAAAGACTTGCTTATGTCTTCTGCACCAAAAACCATTGAAGGTTTTGATAGCTTTTAGTGCAAAAACCATTGAAGGTTTTTGGTGCAGCGCCACCACAGGTGAGGAGGGAAACTGGTTGCTGAAAGTGTTTGACAGTGCAGTGTGAAAGAGAACCACAATGTTAGAATTTCGGTTCCCAATCGAGCCAAGTCTACCGGACTATCAGGTGTGAAAGCATCCTTAAAGAGCATTGGAGAACAAACGGCACCAGAAGACCAACCTCCTGAGCTTTGTACATGCCAAAATGGAAAGACTATAGCACAACTGCAAACCTGCCGAGAGCGTCAACCTGAACTGACGGGCTGGGAGTAGATAGGTTCATGGTTACTCTGGAGGAGTTGCTGATTTCCCGCAGCTCAGGTGGGAGAATGTCAACTGAACTTAACTGGATGCTATAAGCTAAACTTCTGGTTTGCACTCTTCACCTAGATCAACTCAAGTTTCAAGCAAACATGTTGAGCCTTACAAACTGTACATAACCTCTTACTTTGCATTTTGCATAAAGTTTCTCTCTCAAGTTCCTTCTTCCTTCCTGCTTAAGTCCATTAGCGTGTCCACACATCAGTGTTACTGTCTGCATGTGTGTGTGTGTGAGCGTTAGCGCAACCGACTATGTGCCTCACCCTCTACCAAACACGCACACTCAGTTCTTGAAACACGTACGCATACCGACACACACACACCTGACATGTGACACGCGGGCAGCGGAGCGGGCACATCACAGCCGGGGCGTTTTAATTGCCTGTAATTTATGCAGTGTGTGTGTGTATGTGTGTGTGTTGCTGTCAGCCTCTGAGATGATGCTGTGTGACAGCTGCAGTCCAGCCCCCCGAGCGAGCCGCTCATAATGACACATTAGACATACTAATGATGCCTCCCCGAGTCCATTGCTGATGCTACCTAGGTCCGCTGCATCACCCAGGCTTTTACACGCACACACACACACGCACACACACATTGAGTCCATTACTGACCTTTATGTCTTCATTTGGTTCCTTCAAACATGGTGGACATTGCCTTCCCACTTGTAGCAGTGTTCGGATCGGTTGTAAGTTTACGGTAGCTCCTGATTTTTTTTGGGTTTTTTTGTTCGTTCTCCAAAAAGTGGCATTTTACAACGGAAATTAGGGAAACGCCAGTTTTTTTTTCATGTTGAAAAAAAATATATCTTAAAGTCAGATCCATTGATTCACAAGAACTGATTCTCACAGTGCCTCCCAAAAGTATTCATATATCTAGGCCTGTTGCAGTAAGCAATAAATCAATTAAAACAAGCTCAATCATTTACATTTGCATGATTTATTTATTTTTCTCCTCACTTTCTTTTTACCAAAAACAAAAGTCTTCAGTCCTGTACTTTGGGCTCAACTGGCCCTGTTATTGAACGACAACTGAATTATGAAGTCATAGAGATCATAATTCATTTTATTTAAAATATCTTCCAGTTTCAGTGTTAAATATTTATCAAAATTTACAGTTTATTGATCTGTAAGAATGCATTGTTGCATTCTTATGCCATTGCCGTTATATGACTTGAAAATGGTGTCAAAATAACATTATTGTTTATTGCATAGAATTCTGGGACAATTTATCATTCAGGAAAATGTGTTATTGTGACTGGCCTACATACACCTGTAACGTCTGTAGCTACAACTACACATGTCAGCGTATTTTATTGGGATTTGATGTGATGGACTGGTACAAATGGATACATGGATTTCATTTTATGTTCTTTTTTTCTTTTTACAAAATATCAAAAAAATATCACATGCTCACATCACATCTCCCCTCAGTCAACACTTTTTGCTGCAGCTACAACATCAGATCTAGAGATCTGATTTATCGCCCACCCAAAAGCACACCACACTTTTCAGATTTTTTGGGTTTTTTTTTTTTTTTTTTTTTTTTGGTGCACTACTAAAACATACTTTCCTTTTTTTTTATTATGGTCTATGTTTTTGTC